ATTAATATATATATATATATTTATATATTATTTATCTTTACATTTTTTATCTCATTTTGTTAATTATTATTGTTATTTTATGTCTTGCGTGATGGCCCCCCTTTGCAAGACTAATAAATATAGATGTAGAATAAGTAACAATCACATGATATCATAGAGTAAAAAAATTGAATGTTCAAAATATATTTAAGAAAAATCCCATTACATCTCTCAGCTATTTAAAATTCAAAATTTTAGGTGTTTAAATTTTAATAACTTTTTTATTGATTTTTCTATCAGTAGAGGGTTTTATACCCTTGGCTAGACTTCCTTGACACATAAATAATTTTTTTCTTTCATTCATACAAATAATAGCAAAATATGTAACACCATAAACATACATATAAACAGAAAGAATAGCAATTGCCAAAAAATCTTTTTTTTTTGCACCTAGAGGTTAAAGAGTGTGACCTTTCATGATGAGGCATGCTTCTCATTTGAAGGAGTGCAAAATGTCTTAGCAGAATGATAATTAGCAAGGAAATGTTGTGAGACTGTAGTGGCCCATTACATTTAACTACCCTCAGAGAAAGGAACATACAGTCGAACCCTCATTAAGCAGCTACGTCCCATTTAGTGGCAAGCCACTATTAAACAACCAGTCACTTAAAGGACCCTAGTTAGCCTCCACCAGTTTTGATGACATCGGAATTATCGATATAGCATGGTGAAGCAAATTCTTATTGTTTTACTGTAAGCTGTGTTCCTGAAGGTATAATCAATGATTATGATCTTGAATAGGTTCACAGTGATTTTTCTTCATTTTGACAGGCTCCGAATAAAATATATGATAGCCAAATTCTCACATGTAAACAAAAACAAACGTGTGGGTGAATAGGGCCCTTTAAATATACCAAAACTAATCTCAGTATGATACTGTAAATAACTAAAACCCCTTTTAAGCAGCCACACTTATAGAGCGGCCTGGGCCACTTTTCTACCATTCCGATGAATGTTCTTCTATTGTTTTTAAGAAGGGTTAACCTGTAATACTACAGGTGTAAATTCTAGACTCCTTCCAAAGGCAAAATACAGGTAGCAATGATTTGAATTCTGCAACTAATATGTGATCAAAAAGTATATTTGGCAAGAAGAAATTATAGTAACTTTCATAGCAGTCATTCATTATGAAGATCCAGAAGATATCCATACTTCCCTGTCCCCCTAGCCACGAAGTTGGAGGAAGGAAGTCAAAGACCCATAATTTACTGAGAATGAAACAACAAACATATGAAATACATATATATGAACTGCGGTTATGAAACGTATATGTGCATGATCCTTCACAGTAAAGCACTATTTAAGCAATAGTGAAAATCAGACCTGAAAAAAATTCAGGCCTGTACAGGACTCGAACCACTGACCTCTGCGATACTAGTGCAGTGCTCTACCAATTGAGCTAACAAGCCAACTGGGAGCAGGCCATCTAATTAATTCAACATAAACCCGTAAGATGATAAATCAAACAACAAACATATGAAATACATATATATGAACTGCGGTTATGAAACGTATATGTGCACGATCCTTCGCAGTAAAGCACTATTTAAGCAATAGTGAAAATCAGACCTGAAAAAAATTCAGGCCTGTACAGGACTCGAACCACTGACCTCTGCGATACTAGTGCAGTGCTCTACCAATTGAGCTAACAAGCCAACTGGGAGCAGGCCATCTAATTAATTCAACATAAACCCGTAAGATGATAAATCAAACAACAAACATATGAAATACATATATATGAACTGCGGTTATGAAACGTATATGTGCACGATCCTTCGCAGTAAAGCACTATTTAAGCAATAGTGAAAATCAGACCTGAAAAAAATTCAGGCCTGTACGGGATTCGAACCACTGACCTCTGCGATACTAGTGCAGCGCTCTACCAATTGAGCTAACAAGCCAACTGGGAGCAGGCCATCAAATTAATTCGACATAAACCCGTAGATGATAAATCAAACAACAAACATATGAAATACATATATATGAACTGCGGTTATGAAACGTATATGTGCACGATCCTTCGCAGTAAAGCACTATTTAAGCAATAGTGAAAATCAGACCTGAAAAAAATTCAGGCCTGTACGGGATTCGAACCACTGACCTCTGCGATACTAGTGCAGCGCTCTACCAATTGAGCTAACAAGCCAACTGGGAGCAGGCCATCAAATTAATTCGACATAAACCCGTAGATGATAAATCAAACAACAAACATATGAAATACATATATATGAACTGCGGTTATGAAACGTATATGTGCACGATCCTTCGCAGTAAAGCACTATTTAAGCAATAGTGAAAATCAGACCTGAAAAAAATTCAGGCCTGTACGGGATTCGAACCACTGACCTCTGCGATACTAGTGCAGCGCTCTACCAATTGAGCTAACAAGCCAACTGGGAGCAGGCCATCAAATTAATTCGACATAAACCCGTAGATGATAAATCAAACAACAAACATATGAAATACATATATATGAACTGCGGTTATGAAACGTATATGTGCACGATCCTTCGCAGTAAAGCACTATTTAAGCAATAGTGAAAATCAGACCTGAAAAAAATTCAGGCCTGTACGGGATTCGAACCACTGACCTCTGCGATACTAGTGCAGCGCTCTACCAATTGAGCTAACAAGCCAACTGGGAGCAGGCCATCAAATTAATTCGACATAAACCCGTAGATGATAAATCAAACAACAACAAACATATGAAACATATGTATGAACTGCGGTTATGAAACGTATATGTGCACGATCCTTCGCAGTAAAGCACTATTT